CCGAGAGTTGGCGGAGCAGATGTGAGAGATGGCACATGTTTTTAGGGAACGGGTCGATGATTTATCTATTGACGTTGGAGTTCTCCGTCGCCAGGTGGTATATCTTCAGGATGAGATCGCAGCCCTTCGAGGGATATAATAGGTATGAGACTGGGTGACGGAGGGGGTCATTTCTGGGTGGATGATGCTACATTGGCTTCATTTTTTGTCCTCCGAGGAGGGTAGGACGGAGGGGGTGGCCCCGAAGGAGGTGGTGGTGGTGGGGAGGACAGAGGCAGTGCCCCGGAGAGGGATAGGACGGAGTGGGTGGCCCTAGAGGAGGTGGAGGTGGTGGTGGCGGGGGAGCTCGGAGGCGATGGCCCTAGAGGTGGTGGTGGTGGTGGTGGGGATCCCGGAGGGGATGGTGGGGGTGGAAGACGAGCATACACCTGACGTGGCTGGGGGGAAAAATCGTGCCATTGAGGCCTTGGAGTAGGTGGTTGGTAAGAGGGTCAGGTTGCCTTCGCAGTACGTCGTTTCTCCATTCACGGCTGAGGTAAAGAGAAGGACGTTCGTCGACGGGACGTATCCCAATCTATTTCGGGAGGTGGATGCAGCCAAATGGAAAGCGTTCGAGACGGAGTGGAGGATATTTAAGCTGGGGTAAATATTTTAAAATTTCTATAAAGAATGCTACGCTAACTCATCTATATATTTTTTAACATTTGTCTTATTTGTTTCAGACATAGCCACATCGTTGGGGAGATGATGATCTCAGATGCCTATAAGTGGTTTCACGACATCACCACTTCGGGGACTGGCTCCCCGACGATGTAAGTGAAATAGTCATATTGTTGTTTATATGTATACATCATTTTTTTGTTTTATGAAATGAAATAACCCCCTATCTTTCTTTATTGGTGTTTCCTGATGTAGCACATCGATCTGGCCGTGGAGTTATTACGAGATTGAGCTCGACGATATCCGCGATCATTCGACATGCCCGACCGACTCATACTAAGCATTGAGTTTTTTGGTGCTGTTAC